ATATTTATAAAATTTGTCCAATTACTTATAATCTTCCTGGAGGGTTAAGTAATAACAGTACAATGTTAGATAAGTAAGTAAGAATACTTTTAAAACTTGGCAATTTCCATTATAATTTTATAAATTGTCAAGTTATAAAAGTGATTATAACACTTTCTAAGATTACAAGACTAAGACATACTTATTTATTTGAGAAAGTATAATATCTGCTTATAATGCTTATAAGTCATTACAAGCATTTGAATCGCTTCCTTTTGCTTCAGATACAATTTTTTATCAAATAATTAATAAAATATAATTATATTTAATTATTTAATACAAAATAATAAATGATACATTATTTCTACAGTTCTAACCCCTGCACCAGCAGCAGCCTCTGCCTTGTTCTTTCGTGAGTAGAATTCGTGTCAGAAAAGGATGAACACATCCTTGGGCCGTTTGATGTAGTCTTCGTCACCACGTTTGGTCGTCACTCGGGACCTGTGAGTCAAATTGTGTGTGTGTGTGGGATGAGGTCGAGTGGGTTGTGGAGGTTGAGGCTGCACCTGTTAGACAGGTTTAGAGTAGTTAGCAAGTGACAATAGGAGATAAAAGGTGGACGTACTGCGACAGCGTGCAGCAAGTGTGAGTGGTGCATACAGGTTGAGATCCGGAGCGTTGAACGAGTTGATTCAGGCTGCAGACAAAGCCGTATCAGTATGCATATGATTATATTCTGACTGACGTGCAATTGGAGGAGCAGTGAACTGAGTCGTTTTTGTGGATTGCAAAGGTGTATCTCTGGGACGTACCGGCTCGAACAGAGAAGGTGAAGTGGAACGTATGGACAGATTCAGCTCAAGAGGGGTAAGTGGCGGTCCACTGCTTCCGTTCGATATGGTGTTGTCCGCTGCACTAGGGAATGTAAATGCACATGGGGTGGACCTGTAGAGAGTGATGTTAAGCATGGAATGGGTAGGGAAGGGGAGCTCGTACAGCGTCGAAGAGAGGGTCGTACCATGGGAATGGTCGTACGTTGGTATTGTCGCGAGCGCGCACTTGTCGACTGTTGCTTGCACTACAGAGCAGGAAGTACGCGAATGTATGGAAACATTGAAGAAGTCGTTCGGCATTGGTCAACAATGCAGATGTGCAAATGCAAATGCAAAAAGGAAGGCGAGTGTAAACAAAGGAGGACAATGAAGGAGAGGCAACGCAAGTGGCGGAGTGAGGAGCAGGAGGGGTGGAAGGGAGACAAAAAGTTGGGAAGAGAGGGATGAGCAACCATTGTGCGAGTTATTATGAAGTGGACTGGCTGCTTACGCTTTACAATGAAGGACGGTGTAGTCAGCTCAGTGGTATCATTGCAGGATCTGAGGCTCAGCGCGGGCATCGCAGTGGCAGATTGGAGAGACGAGTACAGTGATGTTTATTGCCTATGTTGAAGCAGGCAGAGTGCCCGCCAGTGGGACGCTTGTAGGCAGAGGACTGGGCTAGAGAGAACAAGAGCAACGACATAGTGTTGGGGGAAGAGGATTGGGGAGATGGTGGAGGTAGGAGGGAAAGGAGTGACGAGAGCAAGTGCGTCATTATATGCTCTCGATCTTCGGTACTCAATTATGTAATCACTTCGATATATAGTTTTAAAATAAAACTAAA